TCTTCCTTTTTAGCGAAGAGGGCCGGTGCTCCCCACGGTGAAACACTAGAGCGAACAATACCCTTATCTAACAATTCCTGGAGCTGAACTTTCAACTCAACAAACTCTGCTAGAGCAAAACAGTAAGGTGCCATAGAAATCGGCGCCGTGCCGGGCACTAGATCAATAGAGAACTCTATCTCTCGATGAGGTGGCAAACTAACAAGGTCCTCGGGAAAGACATCCGAATACTCACAAACCACCATCGACAACACAAGCTGGGTCTCATCACACTCACCACTCTCAAAGCTAGCAAGTAGACCACTAAGCTCACTCCGCCCTCGCGAATCATACCCCGGTGGCAAAACACTACCAACCCGGTCTCCCAAGAAATGGAACCACTCCTCGCTCAAGGTACATAACGTGACCCTCTGGCGGTAGCAATCGATAACAGCCTGGTATGACGATAGCCAGTCCATACCCAAAATAACATCAAAACCCTTCATGCGCATAACTACAAAAGGGAATGCAAGTCTATAGTCGGCGACCTCTATATCGCAACCTTTACAACCCTGTTTCAAGATCAGTTCACCCCCATGAGGTGACACCACACATATAGGAGATGCTAGCTGAGCTAACTCCAACTCCAAAACAGATGCAAATGCAGCAGATACAAAAGAATGAGATGCACCCGTATCAATCAACACATTAGCAACCGAGTTGCAAAACAAAAAGGTACCTCTCACTACTGATGGATCCGGTAGTAGATCCTGCGCGGTAACAGCATACACGCGCCCCGTAGGCCCCTGATCCACCTACTCACACCTCGGAGCATACGACTGTTGCACTGACTGGGACGACGAAGCTCTCGGATTGGCCCTCGAGCCCTGCACAGACTGAGCTGGCTGAAATCCCTGCGTCTGTCTAGAACCAAACGCTCCTGAAGTGGCACTCAACTGTGGGCAGAACCTCTTCAGGTGCCCAGGCTGTCCACACTGATAGCAAGATAAGGGCTGCCCTCTGCCCAAACCCTGACTCTGCGGTCTAACTGAAGAAGAAGCAGCTCTCTGACCTCCGCCCTTCTGCGGGCAAACCGAAGACTTGTGACCCAGCTGGCCACAGGTGTAGCAAGTCAAACCTCCCTGATTACCTCTCCCCGAGCCTGCACTTGGCACCAGAAAGGTCGATCTAGCAACCCCACTCTGAGACTGCTGAGGGTTATAACCCCTCTGTCTCCTGCCATCACCCTGACCCTCCTGGCCCCTCTTGGCGCCTCTATGTTTCTCCTCGTCCTCCTCCTGCATCATAAGCTCCATATGAGCTGCAGCATCCACTAAATGTCTATACTCTCGGATATAAGACCCACCAACCCTCAACTTGAGGCCCCGCCTCAACTTCCGCTCAAACTCAAAGCAACGGCGTTCTTCAGACGCCACCAACTCAGGTGCAAACCTGGACAAACTAGTAAAAGTGGCCTCAAACTCGGCCACAGACATACCCTGCTAATTAAGCCGGCTAAACTGATCCCTCAGCTTCTCCCTAGCCACTGCAGATAAGAACCTCTCCTGGAAAGCATTTACAAATGCCTCCCATGTACCACCAACACGAGCCTTCTCGTACTTCCACCATTGACCCGCATCTCCCTTCAGCTGGAAGGATGCCAAGGTCACTTTCAGTGCTCCGTCCTCGATGCCAAGCATCTCGAACGTCTTACTCATTTGTTCCAACCACTCGTCAGCCTTCAGTGGCTCCTTCGGATCTCCAACAAATTCGTCTGGGTTAGACCGGAAGAACTCCCTCTTCAAGAAAGAAGGCCCTGCCTCAGGTGCCTGATTCCCTGCTCTAAGAATACCCAAAGCCCCTGCTATCTCTCGTGCCAAGGCACTCATAGCCTGCTGACCCGCTGGCACGGCCACATTGGCCTGGCCAACTCCCTCCTGCACTGTCGGAATATCATCCGGTAAAGGTACTTCCTGCCTCGCAGGCCTACCACGCCTAGTGCCTCTTCCTCGTCCTGACATCCTAATAAAGGTAACACAGAACGTTAGCACATTCACAAATGTGCCAAAACTAAACACTCACGTCCTAATGCATGGACAACTGTAATTCACTCCACGTAAGCACATAAACACATAAGCACTTACGAATTTCATTTCCGGATAATGATAGTCCCGAGGCGTTACTAGAGTTCCGGTTAGAAACGGCATTGATCAAGTGCCTTTCCAACAAGACTCCCAGAAACCCAAGGATCCAATCAACATCCTAGAAATTAAATCCCATACCCATATAAACACATAAGCATGTTATCTATTTAAACACATAGCATATGACACTACACCAAAGTCTCTATCAAACGAGACAAACCCACTGTGATACTAATCACATCCCACGTACCCAAAGTATTCGAACCTGGTACGCTCTGATACCAAGTTGTCACGCCCTAAAAAAAAAAACATTTAAACCCATCAGTATAGATATGCATTGATATATAAAAGCTCTACATCCTTCTATTCATCAGAGTTCCATTATCCAAAAAGTATTACATGTTAACGACAAAAGCAAATGCCCTAAAGGCTTACAGCTTTCCAAGTTAACACTTGGTTACAACAAAAGAGTGCTAACTCATTTACACATTAAGCCCTTGGCTTGAATTTACGTGTAATACATCAAAAGGGAAAAAGACAACAAAAGTCCATCAGCCTCAAGCCTCCCAAGCTATGTCCTTGGAGGTGGCATGCTACCTGTACCTGGAAATGATGTTCCCATATAGGGTGAGCCACAACCCAGTAGAAATACACTAAACCAAATATGAACAATGACTAAAAAGATTAGCAATTGATAGATGGCCAACACTGATACTTTCCTTTATCATACTTTACGATTTCATGACATACAAGTCCATATTACAATCCATTTTCCAATTCTTTTCAATTCTCAATTCATAACCATGGCTCAGAACCTGGCCAACAACTTATATGAGACAGTAACTCATATTAAACTTCTTCCCAATTCATATTAGATAAGCTTACTAGCTATATCAACACATCAACAGATAAGCATACGAGCTATATCATCACTTCCATAGATATGCATAAGAGCACTATCACACTTCCGAAAACAAGCATATGAGCTATGTCAACACATTACTAGATAAGCATATGAGCTCTATCTATGGAGTCCATCCCCTATCTCCTCCCAACAACATCCGGTTTAGAGGTCCATCCCCTATCATCCCCTAAGCCGTGGAGTACATCCCCTATCTCCTCCAACACAACACAATGCATATAAACAATAACTATACACATCATCACACAATACATAAATTTAATGTATTCTTTCAACCGTCATTCTCAATGACACATTCTAGTCATTAGTTTCAGTTTGCCAAATCATCATACATTGTCTACAACAATCAAGACTATCCTCCACCGATAGCCCAAAGCAGTTGTTTCTATACAAAAAATACATGCAACAATGGATATATAATCAACATTTCAACTACGTGAGTGATAAATAATCCAACTACACCCTTTAACCCCATACATTCTCAATCTTAATATTTCCGCTTCAATTTCTCATTCCTCACAATTAATTTTACAAATTAATTAACCAATGTAATTAGGGCATTTTCCATAATTAACATTACAAACCTTAGGTTCCATTTTCATCAATGCCTCAGCATTTATATCATTTCTCCATGCCAACCATGCATCTAGGTTTATCATAATTGAAAACCCAACTTTTATAAATTTACATAAAAGTCCCAAACTTTCACAAAATTACCATACCAACCCCAATATCTCAAAATACCAAAATTTAAAGACAAAACCCATAGTAAGGAGTAGGTTATCCCTACCTCAAAGAATGACACCCAACCAAGAAGATGATGGAAATGAAAATGCTCCAAACCACGAACTAGTCAGATCAAAAGATAGCCCTCGACGATCAACAACTTTTTTGTAAAGGCCAAAGGTAAGGAAATCACTCCTACTAGATCAATACCTAGAGAGAAGGTAGAGCTCTAGAGTGAGAGGCTCAACAATGGCGTTTTTGAAAAAAGTAAGAGAGAGAAGAGAAGTGGAAAAAGTGATTTAAAAGATCAAAACACGGAGCTTTAACCTAGTCGTCCCACTCGAGCGTCCAACGCCCCGCTCGAGCGTCACTCACAGACTCCCGCTCGAGCGTCAACAATCCCGCTCGAGTGGCGGATACACACTTCCAGAACTTTTACAGAACCAGGTCTCTGCTCGAGCGTCAACTCTCTCGCTCGAGCGTCACACACAACATCCCGCTCGAGCGTCAAAAATCCCGCTCGAGCGTACAACACTGTAGAGGAGATACTGGAAGATGGAAAACTACGCTCGAGCGTCGAAAACCCCACTCGAGTGGACAAACAACAACGAAGGGCCCGCTCGAGCGTCAAAATCCCCGCTCGAGCGTGAAGGCCAAAATCTGGGCAACTACTCTTGGTTTCCAAGTTCAACCAACCTGTTTCAAACTTGCCCAACACAACCCAAGACTCGAACACAAGGAGTAAAGGATGTAAATAAGACGCACACAACAACTAACTCCACGGAACCTAGGTCCGGATACAACAATTAAAGAAAAGGGAAACCGGGATCGTTATATATTACAACGTGACAGAGGTAAAAAATGGGCGGGCTTGCTGTTGGTCAAAACGGATTACGTATTAAAACAATCTAATTTAAACTCGTCTATTTAATAAACAGCTTTAAACAGATTGGAATAAACTAGGTAAGTGTAAAACAAATCAAGAGAAGCAGCTAAAGAAACTATGGCCCCTAAAATTGTGTTTAGATTATGGATAATCCCTGTCCAAATTCATAATTCTCACTTTCTTTCAAAATTACTACCCAAATCTATGATCCAAACAGTCACAAGACAAGACAAGTGACCAACAAACAACATACATCCTCATATCCTGTCCACAGTATCAATTTCCCCAAAAACTAAAGTTCCATGTAATCGTGTAACATTAATTGCAGTGTTCAAACACCATATTTCAAATTAACTGGAGTCATGAGTCGCAGCGCTATTGCAAAATGAACAAGGATCGTTTACAACAATACCCAATACAACATCTATAGAACAAAGAGGTTCTGGATATGAGAATGCTTGATGATACAACTTGTAAATACTACAACAGAAGGCCAAGATCATTTAGTCCAGAAGTCCGGCTAGTCTACAGATTTCAATGGAATCAACCAGAGTTTCTTCTATCGGTCTGTAACTCCAACCCAACTTCTGCAATTTCTCTAAACTGAGCTTTTCTTCTTCCTTTCCCTCAGTAAATCTGGCAATGTCTAATTGAATGAAACAACAAATTTTAACCCAACAAAGGTAACCCCTAGTAATAATTCAGTTACGCTTATTGGTGATAGACCACAGATATAATTCAACTGCTAACACCTAATCTATTATATAATATAAAATTAAAAAAATGAAAAATAAATTCGTACAGCAGGAAAATCCTTTTAGATGAATATATTATGGAGAGACAGAAACTTACTTCTTAGGATAATTGTAGTTCGGGTAGTTTTTCCTGAGTATTTCCACCAGATCTTGTGACTTGATCATGTAAGCTGTGTACATATACCTTCCTTCGGCTTCAGGCTTCTCATATGCCAATAGCAGTGCTTCAGCTACATCTCGTACATCTACTATCATCCTCAAATTGTTTTCGAATTCATCATATCCCTCTGTAAATAACAGGATTGCGAGAAGTCAGGACATCAAGTGCTACAGTTTTCACTGACAAACCATTTTCAAGAAGAAAAAACTATATACCAGATGACTAGTAATAAGCAACGTATTGATGAAGTCATGGCACAACTTATGAAAAATTATGCACTGCTTGAGTGCCTTTCAAGTGCGCTCTGAGCAAGCCTCTGTGGGCTCCCATTATGCAAAAATCCCAGCACCCTGCTCAAGCACACTTTCAAGTGGGCATCAAGAGCAGCTCTATGGACTTCTGTGAAGTTGAAATGTCACCACATTTCTTTAAACCTAGGGCTCTAGACTTATGCAGAGCTCCCAGGGGGCACCTCGCTCGAGTGCTCTTCGATCGGTGCCCTTGGGGCTTGCCCAATTAATCTTGTATTGAATAGTTTCCGATCATAAAGACCACAAGACTAAGCATAAGTTATTCTAGTCAAACTATGACATGAAAAGCATGTGTCCTAGACTAATACAAGATATCACATGTAAATAGGATCGAAGCACACTTTGCATTATCTCTAAAGATCTTTAATCTTGATCAGTTGGAGACACTAACCTATTCTCACTAACACGCATTTTGTCTATTGAAATTAGCAAGGCATTAAATCACTTTATAAAATACTCGGGAATAAAGGGAGACGTGATCTCTATCTGCTGGCAATTCATTTGCATGATGTCATCTTGAATACTGTCATGGAATCTGTGAAAATCCAAATCATCTATAAAAATTTCTACAAAATGTTAGTTACCTCAATTTATTTGGCTGTGGAGCTCACTAGGTTGGAATGTTAAGTATTTGCACGTGCCTTCTCTTCCCATTTTATTTTTTTATTGCATCTTTCTTTTACTTTTTTCCTGTGTGTGTATTTTCAGGGGTGGGGGGATTGGTTCCACAAGATTGATATCCGGCTTCAAGTGTTCCATTTAAGTGCAACCAAAGTTGACATGCTGTTTCAACATCAACCCACATCCAACGCTTTAACATTTTTGCTTTTTTGAAGAAAGCAAAAACACAGCATGTGTTTGCACAACATTTATTTGTCCATCCGTACACATCAAATTATACACATGAATGAGTATGATTATCTGTACGTATACATGTACATTTATTATTTATGCATGCTTTTATGACCACTTATATGCCTATAAGTTCTCACATAAGTATTATACATACCTTTATGCCTATATACAAATTTATATATGCATATTTTTCTACATAGAGATGCATCGTAAGTACTTTTATCCATACATATATGCTACACATGTCTTACTAAGGCTTGGTTTGGCATAACTAAAAAATGCCAAAAGTCAAAAAGTCACTATCTTATTTCAGTCACATCATCTTATTTAAGTCACATCACCTCTCTACCACATCACTTCAAACCCAACCCATATCCAACCCATATTTCATAAAAAAGTCAAAAAGTGCACTTATTTAGTTTATCCCAAACAATACCTAAATTGATTTTTAAATGTACCCATACCTAATTGTACATTATATGACCACATGCTGTTATCAAAAGTAATTTCATATGCATATTAATGAAGATCATGGAAAGAAAAAAGATAGCAAATCTGGAATTTTACATAAAACACATTTAGGACATCAAGAATTAAATATTTGGAATAATTTCAAGTCTTCATATCATTATAGTATGTTTTAGTAATTAAGGGTATAATAGTAATTCCAACAATTGTTGAACATAGGTTGTAGGGGTTGCCCATGGGTTTTATTTTGGGTCAAATTATTAAATGGGTCGTTATATATGGGTTTTATTATGTCTAAAATAATTTTAGTAGTCAAAAGTTCAAGTTTTCTATTTTGATATTGGAGTAGAATTAGAAATCATTACAGTTTCCTATTATGATTGAAGTAGAATTGGAAATCATAGTTTATCTAGATCTAGAATATTAGTAGTTGTTAAATATTTTTAGTTTCTATTTGATTTATAGTCCTTATAGAATTAGGAGAGTTGTTAGCCTATAAATGTATGTGTAATCTCAATGATTGAGGAAAAAGAGTTAATATTATGAAAATTTAAGATTGTATTTGTGTGATTGGCATATTCTTTATGAGGGTGAAGCACCTTTCTCTCACTCTTTTCTTCTTCTTCTATCCAGCAAGATCACTGTTCACATCACTATTCATAGTGCTTAGAACAACCACCTAACAGCCTCTAAACACTTGTTTTTTCATTCCCAACACCCTACCCCTTTACAAACCCTTAAACTCCTATATTTTTAAATACTTTTGTAGTCACAAACTCCCACCAAATCTAGCCCTATAAGTCTATTATTGTTGCTGCTAGTATAGTTAACCCGGGCTCACTACTTGTAGGAAAGTAATCCATACTCGTCCTACATTAGTTTGGTATCAAAGTGTCAAGATCCTATCTTGTTCGTTACCAATCTTTTGATGAAATTTCTTTCTTTATTACAATGTTGACAAGCATTGAATTAAATTTGAAATTTGAAGCCTCGTCAACAAATTATAGGGTTACTAAGAAAGATATTGTGATGTTAAAGGAGGATTTTGGAATAATTAAGGAGGATATTGCAACAATAAAAAGTGATGTGCATACTATCCAGACAACTTTGAATGGATTGAAAGCTTTCATGAAAATATTAGTGGCTGCTACTTTGGAGAAGATTAATATCTAAGAGCAAAAGGATGATAGTGTTGAAGATTTTGAAGAAACTATAAAAGAGCAAGATGAACATGTTGCTAATATTGAAGATCTTGAAGAAATGTAGGCGAAAATTAATTTGTTTACTAAAGAAAGCATGAAAGATCATCATGATCAAGAATCTAAAGCCAAGAAAGTCAAAGAAAATAATAAGAATGCCACTGAATTTTCTAGTCTTCACAAGAAAAATGAAGTTCACATTGAGTTTGTTATTCCTAATAAATTTGATGTGGTCAATGGAGTGATGACAACATTGAATTTTTTGATTTTCTCATCGTTCTTTCAAAACAATCAATTTAAATGTTTGCAAGTGCAAGATTCCATAATCCTCATACTTCAACATTATAAAACTCGAGGTCGAGTTTTTTCGAATGCAAGGGAGAATGATGAAAATCATGGAGAAAAAAAAAGAAAAGCAAATCTGGAATTTCACATGAAGCACATTTAGGGCATCAAAAATTAAATATTTGGAATAATTTCAAATCTTCATGTCATTATAGTAAGTTTTAGTAATTAAGGGTATAATAATAATTCTAATAATTGTTGGGCATAGGTTGTAGGGGTCGTCCATAGATTTTATTTTGGATCAAGTTATTAAATGGGTTATTATATATGGCTTTTATTTAGGGATGGGCACGGGTCGGTTGCGGCCATAGAACTTCTAATTCATCATCTGTCCATCAGATTGACAGATTGGAGAAAATCAATCCGCATCGGTCTGCTAATCCGGCAGATGTGAATTGAGCGGATTGGCAGATAGATGCGAATCGATTTGGTGGTTTAAAATTTTATAAATTTTCAACATAATTCAACTTGTGCACTTCCTAAAAAAAAAGAAAAGAAATATTACGTCAATGACTTAAAAAAATATTAAAATCACTGCATACCTGATCCACATATTACAATTACAACATGCCTTATCCACATAAAGTATTACAATCTGTGATTCCTAAAATATAAAAACAATTCAAACCACCAAAACCATGAATAGAGTAATGGTAGAGATTGTATGCCTCTGTATTGTTACATCTATATCTGTTTTTAAAAATAAAATCAACCAGCATATATCATCTTTTTTATTTATTATTTTCAAATTTAGATTTAAAAACCAAAAAATATAGATAAATAATACATTTATTTTTTTCAATTCAAAAAATATATTCAAGTTAAAAACTCTTTTTCAACAGACTATATTCAACAGAATATTTAAACTCTTTTTCAATTGAAAACACAAACAAAATATTTAATCAAATTGAAAACAGAGTCTTATAAATTAGTTGGGGTGCTGGTGGTTTGACGGTTCGGTTGCAGCCAACGGAACCTCAAATCCGTCATTTGTCCAAAATTAGGCGGATTGAAAAAATCAATCCGCAACTATCCGCTCGTCATCACGCATCCGTTCAAAATGCGACGGATTTATTCCGTTCAGTTCGGTCGGTTAGGATGGATCAGTATATCCGCTACTCACCTCTAGTTTTATTATGTCTAAAATGGTCAAAAATCCAAGTTTCCTATTTTGATATTGAAGTAAAATTAAAAGTCATTAAAGTTTCCTATTATGATTGAAGTAGAATTGGAAGTCATAGTTGGTCTAGAATATTAGTAGTTGCTAAATATTTCTGATTTCTAAATTTGAGTTATAGTCCTTATAGAATTAGGAGAGTCTTTAGCCTATAAATATATGTGTAATCTTAATGATTAAGGAAAAAGAGTTAATATTATGAAAATTTAAGATTGTGATCGTGATTGTGTGATTGGCCTATCCCTTGTGAGAGTGAAGCACCTCTCTCTCTCTTTCTCTTCCCTTCTATCCAACAAGATTACTGTTCACATCACTGTTCAGAGTACTTAGAACAGCCACCCAACAATCCCCAAACACTTGTATTTTCATTCACAAAACCCCACCTTTTTACAAACCCTTAAACTCTTATTTTATTAAATACTTTTGCAACCACAAACTCCTACCAAATCTAGCCCTATAAGTCTATTGTTGCGGCTACCAGTATACTTAACCCGGACCCACTACTTGTAGGAAAGTAATCCATACTCGTCCTACATCACATATACTTCCATATATGGCCATTTCATCCTTATGTAATGACTTTAATAGGAAAGCATAATTAAATTCTGTAGGGTGACTTCAGTGCTTTTGAAAGGGTTCAATCAAAGCATTGCAAGACTGAACTTTGGAGCTCAATTGGCCTCACCTTCTAGAAGTTCAATCATAATGAGAATGATTGGAAAAACAAGCATCACCATTCCTCAAGGCTTAACATCACCAAAACTCGTGCATTATATATATATACATTTATCCTTTTAATACAAATTGGAGCCCTAGATTGTAGGCTTAAAGCCTAACAAGCAGGATAAAGCAGAGCAAAAATGCTTCCCATATGGAATGTAATACCAAAAGTAACTTCTCAAGCATTAAAGTTCAAAAGTTAACATTCCACTGCAGCATATAAACATGCATAGGGACACATATGAGCACATCATTTAGAATAAAAGAAAACAAGATTTACATGGATAAAAAATGCTACTTCTACCTGAGAAAATAAAATGATATAGGTTTATTCAATTAGTTACCTTTTGAAAGCTTAATGAGAACCAAACTACTAGCATTTGCTGTGGACTGGAGCATTGGTCCCAAAACATGGGTTGGACACACTCTTACAACATCAAGCCCACTTCTTTTCGCATACTCAAAAGCCTCACTTTCTGCTTTTGTTTTGGAAAGACAATACCAATTCTAGGACAAAGAACCTGAAAATCAATATAAATATAGAAAACATTAGCATGGAACCTACAATTTTAAACAGCTTTGAATAATATCAAGAAGAAATGCACTACAATCGCAACATAATCATTACAAGTTTAATTGATTACATTAGTTCTTCTGCAGTATTCCGCATCAGACCAACAAGTCTCGTCCTTCACTTGACCCTTGGGCCATTCAGGGTTCAAGGAAACAGCAGCTCCAGAAGATACAACCACCACTCGTTTGACATTTGCTTCAGAACATGCCTTGAGTACATTAAGAGCACCCTTCACAGCAGGCTCAATTAGTTGCACCTGCACTAAAGCTATTAGATACTATGGAAGTAAAATAACTCACCAAACTCGTAACACATTAAAGTCCCATTGAAGATAAACATTCAATGATTACACATGTCATCACATTTCAATCCTGTGACGCACTTCTTTACCTGTGGATTAACTTTACTATCACAGATGCAACTAAAATGCCAGCAACTCCCCCAAGTGACATGCCACATTGATCCCCAAATGGTGAGAAGCAGGGAAAGGTGCTAACACTTTAATAGACAAGTGCACATAAAGAAACTAGTCCAAGAGTGTAAAATACAATTAGTAACTTGGAACATAGGAACAATAACAATGATTGGAAAGAGAATGAATAATTTTTTTTTTACAAGAAACTAATGGGTAAAGGAAAATCTAAAGCAGCTAAGGAGGTTAAAATTAAATTGAAGGCTTACAATGCTCTCTATCTTAAGTTGTAAGGATGGAGAACAAGATACGTAAGATGAAGAGAAAGAAAAGACGGAGACCAAGTTCAGGTAACAATTTGGATATTATCTAATATGTCACCAATGAATGGTGGGACTCATTAAACCAATGGGTTGGTGACACAACAAGTGGTATTCAAAATTTGGTACCCAAAAGTCACCATAGGATAATTTGCTCAAAAAATCAACCCATGTAAGCAACCCCAATTAATTGGGACAAAAGTTTTGTTAAGCTGAATTAAGAATTGAACAAAACACAAGCATGGCCGGACCGGTATCATATTTTCACGGTTCTTATTCTCGTAAGTTGGCTCAGTCCAAAAAAGTAGCAAAATGAAATAGCTAAACACATTAGATAAAGAGATGCAATATCCAGAAATTCTCGCCGCCATAAGAATCCAAGTTACAGTAGAATTGAAGCCATATGGGCTGATGCAGGCTAAATGTATGGACTATGAAGCAGTGTAACGCCCTCAAAATAATAACATTAAACCCATCCATATAGATATGCATTGATACATAAAAACTCCACATTCTTCTATTCATCAGAGTTCCATTACAAAAAGTATTACATGTTAACGACAAAAGCAAATGCCCTACGGGCTTACAGCTTTCCAAGTTAACACTTGGTTACAATAAAAGAGTACTAACTCATTTACACATTAAGCCCTTGGCTTGAATTTACATGTAATACATCAAAAACAAATAAGACAACAAAAGTGTGTCCGCCTCTAGCCTCCCAAGCTATGTCCTTGGAGGTGGCATGCTACTTGTACCTGAAAATGATATTCCCATATAGGGTGAGTCACAGCCCAGTAGAAATACACTAAACCAAATATGAACAATGACTAAAAGATTAGCAGTTGATAGATGGCCAACAGTGATACTTTCTCTTATCACACTTTACAGTTTCATGACATACAATTCCATGTCACAATTCATTTTCCAGTTCCTTTCAATTCTCATTTTATAACCATGGCTCAGAACCTGGCCAAACAACTCATATGAGACAGTAACTCACATCAAGCACTTCCCCATTTCATAATAGATAAGCATACTAGCTATATCACAAACCAACAGATAAGCATACAAGCTATATCACACACCAACAGATAAGCATACAAGCTATATCACACACCAACAGATAAGCATACAAGCTATATCACACACCAACAGATAAGCATACAAGCTATATCACACACCAACAGATAAGCATACAAGCTATATCACACACCAACAGATAAGCATACAAGCTATATCACACACCAACAGATAAGCATACAAGCTATATCACACACCAACAGATAAGCATACAAGCTATATCACACACCAACAGATAAGCATACAAGCTATATCATCACATCCACAGATATGCATAAGAGCACTATCACACTTCCAAAGACAAGCATATGAGCTATGTCAACACATTAC